TGGGGTCCTATCTTTAGGGACTGTAGCATCGGTCAATCCTATTGCAAACGCTGTCACTGTAGGTGATATTTTTTCGATGAAAGGCGCGACTAGAACCGCGCCTTCAGTTCCTGCCTTGGATTTCGCCCAGGCGTCGATATTTTGTAGAAAATCCTGGGCTAGGCTCATTCTCTGCTTTCGTTCGCGCTCTGATTGCTCCATTGCAGCAGCAATCCCAAGAAGGCTCGGGTGTAGTTGATCGCCTGGGTCGATTGACGCCGAGGACGACGGCTGATTGTGCGCAGCCATAGTGCTGCTCGATTTGACGGGTTATTAGAAGCCAGGATAAGTGTAATGGTGTGCGTGTATGGGATATGTTGAATGATAAGATTGTTGGTCAAACATAATCATTCCTGTACCTGAACATAATGGAGTTATGGTTGTATTTATTACTTACTTATGAGTATAGAGGGTAAGGCATTTGGAGATCTTAGATACCCTGTATTAGTAGTTCCGTATTAGCGCATAGACGGGTCTAGTAGACACATATTAATAGGAGTATGGGCGCGGCATTGAAGGATGCTGTGATCGCGAGAATCATACACGATAGATTAACTCAATACTTTATCAATTCTACTTCCAGTACTTACGTACCACTCGTATACAAGAATCTAATTCTAATAGGATAGATAATCTAATGATGTAGTTTTCCATGGTTTTGTTTTGTTTATTCTGTCCTAAGCTAAAGCTATGTTTTCCACATTGGGTCAAGGACAGGCGGGTTTTCCATGGTTGATGCTTGGGATCACATCATAGCAGGCTCACGTGACTTTGTAACTAAACTGTGTTGGAAATCTAGACTCAGTATGTTTGGATGTTTAGATTTCTAGGTATGATCATCAAGATCAATTGAATTGACTCGATTGCATATGATTAAGCTCAGCTAGGCGACATGAGGTTCAGTGTTATGTGAAATCCTACCTTGCGATAATTGAGTGGCTAGTTGTTGCTAGATCACTGGGAGTTCGGGATCACTAAAGCCTTGGGAATCTGTGTTTGCTTATAGCCTCATGTACGAGGACTAAACTAGATTCATGGAACATTTTATTTTATTAATTCACATTGAGAAGAGAGTTCGATATTCTACAAAATTATCAATGAATTCTCGTCCAAAATTGTACACTTGTTCTTAGATATTTCCACCTAGAAATCCTTGACAACTTCCAACAAAGTGTGAAGTGTATCGTGTACCATGCATTTGTGAGTATTACAGACCCAACTAGAAATCGACAGAATAGAGATCACGTAGTTAGACAGAGACTGAACTCTAGGATAGAAATGATATCACGATGGAATGTTGTAGCACTAGGCTGTGGACAATACATTAAGTCTGGAACAAATTGTGAGAAGGTCTGATCCGTCATTCATTCCCTCGTCCAGGATTCCTCTACACGAGAATATAAATACAAGTCTTACTAATCACGACATCATACGCGACAGTGATTAACGAAACTTTACGTAATCATAAATTCCCCAGCAGTATCTATTATCTTGCACCTAAATAGCCTTATAAATATACCACTTTCCCTAAATATTCGCTGAGGGCGAAACACAAGTTCTCTTATTTTTACATTTTTTTTAATTCGCAGTGTATTCAGCTATCTAGCTATGACACATTTGATTATTTTATATCTAAGTACAAATATTCAATCCCCATTTCCTCTACTCATCTTCTAGTCTCCTCCCTTTCAGTCAGCTTTGGATGCATTCATGCATCCACTGTAAACACGAGTTCGCAGACGAGGTAGGTAGGTATGTGTTTGTATATGTATGCTTATTAATGTGATAGGCAAATGGCACCCGCCGCGCTCCTGGAGAAGCTGAAGCACAAATAATGCCGGGTCGGATCAAGTTAACTACCATATAAGTACAACAAACCTCTCCCCACCTGAGTGTCCGAGTCACGTCAGACTTTACCTGTATGTTGAGTCATACCAAGTCTGACCGTCCAGAAGCCTGCTGTATATACGCCGTAGGGCAAATCTTCATCAGCGTCGACCACCCCGCGCTCGAGCCCTTAACATCCTCAATGACTCCGAAATGTAAATTCCGTCCCAAATCTCATCTTTGCCTCAACCTTGCACCTCCTTATCGTGCCGTTGGGTTATTGTCGTCATTTAGGATCTGAATTCCCGCGCAGAAGTATGATCCCCTCGGTGTGTAATCCATTTTTCTCCTCCTTTGTACTCATCCCGTTTCCATCAGGAGTTTCTCAGTATGGAGTGTGTGCGTCGGTGATGTCACGAATATGGAGTTGGGTCGCAGGTTTAGGATCGAATGAGAAGGTCTCTATCGCAAATGGATAAGGAGTCACATAAAGTTCGATGGTTTGAATACGTCCACCAGATAGACCTCGGTCTATTCGTGAATCGTATGTTGGTGGTGAAAAGTTTTTGTTCGACTTTCTTGCGTTTGTCAAATCTCTGTCGACGTATTTTTGAACCAAAATACCAAGCAAAACTCCTTCAAGCCAACAACAATTCATCCTACCCTCTTTCATAACTGAGTGAGTGTGTGTATTTATTGTACTACTTGAGTCTGTAACTATCTAGCATATTGGGCTCCTATCTGACCCAGGCTACAACTTGTACAGTGCTCCTTGCCTCTCATGTTTCTTGAAAGATCATTGACACATCGTCCGTGATGAATTGCCATTCAGCTCAGTGTTTACCCGTGGAATACGGTCACCTTTTCCACGGAACCTTCTACCCAAAAAAGTAAAAATGGTAGCAATGGAAACTGCGTGCGCGGGAAAAAGTCTCAAAAACCCTGCAGCCCCAGTCAGGCGAGACCTAGACACCGGGACCACATGAGGTGCGCATATTCATCTATATTTCCCTTCTTTGTAACATTCGAGGCCGTCTTGATTCAATCCACCATCGCCGTATCGGGTGCTGGGTACGCCTTGGAAGCTCATCAGATGGCTTTTCCTCCATGATCAAGGGTTGGTGATGAGTAGGGATCCGACCCTACCATCTGATCTGATCGTGGTTAGCTTCATGATAATGGTGATAGGGGGATATGTTGAAAGATGAAGACGATGCAGACCGCGGAAGCGATTGGGAATCCTCGTCAAAGTGAGGACTTTGTTACTCAATCTCGGCTCTGCAGACTCTACAGTGAGAGCTGGAGGTTCGTAGGGGACACCACTGACAGATGTTGAGAATAGTTCCCCTTGTTCAAAACTGGATTTCGGTTCTGGGATAATATTTTATTCCCAGGTTAGTAGAGGACACCACTGACAGGTATTAAGCATTCTTCTTCCATTTAATGAAGTTGACGTGTCTTTAGTTGGTTGTTTCCGCGAAGTAGTGAACGTCTTAAAACTTTGCGCATGCTTGAGCGCGGGGGGGTTAGCTGCATTCTACACCATCATCCCAGCCTATTGGCACTCTAAAGGTGCACGTGCCAAATATATCGGATCAATATATGATGTGCAGGAACGGGAAAGCATGATCGTGTGTGGATCCGCCTGAGCGATAAACCTTCAGTGATGCAGGACGACAGAGCGCGTTACCCTCATTCTCAAACCACGGAAAAGATTATTGGTTAGTCAGTAATTAAATTGCAAGTTCGGTAATCGTGTTGTGTAGCTCTCCCAGATTATCAATTGATGTATGAAGGGAGCGTGGGACTTGAAACACTTATTAGTAATTGGAAAAGCCCAGTTATCAGCCAAGTCTACTATTAATCTATGATCAGATTTTCCCTCAAGTTTTCTTTAGTGATGACTGCGCCCGCATCACGAGTAAAAATAAAGAGACGTGCATTTACAAGTGTTTCTCGTTCAAAGACCTCATTAAATTGTATACGATAGTTGGTTGATATGGTCAGGAGTTTGTAACACATAGTGTGAGTAGGATTGGGTTTTAGAGGATCTTGTGTTATGAATGCTATTCATAATTGTCTGTCCTCAGAGCTGTGGGCCGGTATAAGCGCGAGGAAAACCTAAATGTAAATTAATTAGGCTACCGCTTCGTGATTAGGATATATCTACTTCATGATATACTGAATGAATCATAAAAAATTTAAGCATTTTCCAATTTGGATGTAAACTCCTGGCCTATAAATTTAGACCATGCTGTGGAAATATCGTGATCAGCGTTTGGCGCCATCGAATTAGGTTGTGAGCCAGCCCGGGTACGCCATAAAAGTCTGTTGCCTGCTGTCAAATGATCCATAGCCCTAGCGTCAACATTATTGATAGATTAGTCAAATGATTGGCTGACTGTTGCTCCAGCCTATCCTTTCTAATAATAAGGACATGTTGATTAAACATGTAGTTAAATTATCCCGGAGTGCCAAGCAATAGATTAGATAATGCTATATGGATGGGATAACAGGTGGACACTCGGCTTCTCCATTAAATTGGTGAGAGACAAGTTGGGAACTGGCTAATATTTGGCGCATTGTAGATGGTAGCGAGTCCAATATCCAGTGGATGGGCGAAGGCGGTAATCTATCGTGGGGCGTAGAGCTCGGAGACATGTGTGCATCTGTCGCGGCAGCATGACTGGTCGAGGATTCCTAGCAGGGGGAAGGACAGCTTTCCTGACCTAAATATGGGTCATATATCGTTCTAATACATCCGCGGTTTTGGTGAAAGAAGAAACAGTACATGATGTCAGACGACAACGCGACTAAGTCCCTAAACAATCTCTGAACCCTCGTGCCCAGGAACTCCTCACTGTTTTTAACTCTTTCCCAATATACATCAGCTTTCTCATCAATACCGTCAGAACCGCCAGCCTCCCTACTTTGCTCTCACAACCAACTGAAATTTAACCTTGACACGCCAAATAATTATCAATTGCCGAAGAAGGATATAAATTCCTTGCTCTATACCCTACAAACGCACATCGTCTGGATGACTAGCCTAACAAGCTATAACCTAGACTCCATCTAGGCTAGCCACTCTAGCAATTACTGTCTTTCACGTCACATATTGCGTGTAGAAGAATATGAGTATCTCAATACACATCCAGATAGCAGTGCTGATTCTTGGCGTAACGTTCATTTGTCCTTCCCTCTGTACGTGAGTGTAATATTTCCAGTTGCTCACATACGCTAACCCTTCCAGCTCATTCTACCGAGAGGAACTATTTAAATTACATATCAGTCCTTGAAAATGCTCAAATAAGTACAAAGTCGCGTCGAGTACATGCCGGCTCGAAGTTCGATCTTGAATTTGATCTACACCACGGAAAACAAAAGATACGTCTGACACTATCACCTAATAATGCTGTAATCCAAGACGGTGCAACCGTCCAGTACATGGCTCCAGATGGTTCCCTTAGAACGACAGAGAAACTAAATAGAAGTGATTATCGAGTGTTCATGGGTGACTCATGGACAAGGCATTATGGAGACTTTGAGTGGACCAACGTAGGATGGGCGAGGATCGTAGTTCATAGAGATGGAGATAATCCATTATTCGAGGGTGCCTTTCGAGTCGATGGAGATCACCACCATATTCAGACTCGTACGCACTTCATGCAAACAAAACATAAGCAAGATCCAAACTTGAAACTATCCAACGAAGAGTATCTAGTCGTATGGAGAGACTCAGATATATCGCAGGACTTCAACGTCAATCACGGTGAAAATCTGCACAAAGAGCTCAAAAGGGGCTTCATGAGTGAAAGTGACTGCTCTGCTGATGGGCTAAGCTTTAATACGCAGATGGACCATCCAATATTTAGCTCTATGAGAAAACGAGATCAGCCCAACTCGAATATTTTCCGAAATCTATTGGGCAGGCAAATCGATGGTCAGCTGGGAGGAAATTCTGCCGGTGTAAATCTTGTCAGCTCAATTGGGTCGACGTCAGGGTGCCCTACAACCCGGAAAGTAGCCCTGGTCGGGATTGCAACTGATTGCACATACACTGCGGCATTCAGTTCGACAACGGCAGCTAGGACAAATATCATTAATGTTATAAATTCTGCTTCTCAAATCTATGAATCAAGTTTCAACATAACTCTGGGCCTACAAAATCTTACTATCAGTGATGCATCTTGCCCTATGGCTCCATCAGCTGCTGCCCCATGGAACATTAAATGCAGCGATTCGGTAGACATACAGGATCGTTTAAATCTCTTTTCTGCGTGGCGAGGCGAACGAAACGACAACAACGCTTACTGGACTTTGCTAAGTACTTGTGGCTCTGGATCTGCCGTCGGCCTTGCATGGCTCGGTCAAGCTTGCGTAAATACGGCTCAAGTTACCTCGGCTTCATCGATAAATGAAACAGTGAGTGGAGCTAATGTTGTGGTTAGGACTGGGACTGAGTGGCAAGTCGTAGCTCATGAAACTGGGCACACGTTTGGAGCCGTTCATGACTGCACTTCTGCATCCTGCAACGATCCTATGACTGTTGCTTCACAACAATGCTGTCCTTTAAGCTCTTCGACATGCGATGCTGGCGGAGCTTATATAATGAATCCCAGTACTAAAAGTAATATTCAACTTTTTTCGCCCTGTACGATTGGGAACGTATGCTCTGCCATTGGAAGAAATAGCGTCAAAACTACATGCCTAACTGCAAATAAAGGGATAACTACTATCACTGGCAGTCAATGTGGAAATGGCATTGTAGAGGCAGGCGAAGATTGTGACTGTGGAGGAACCGCTAGTTGTGGAACTAACCCTTGTTGCGAGCCTAAAACCTGTAAGTTCAAAGCTAGCGCGGCTTGCGACTATAGCAATGAAGATTGTTGTAATACCAGCTGTCAGTTTGCGTCAACCGGCACTATTTGTCGGGCATCAACAGGAAAATGTGACCCTGAAGAGAAATGCAGTGGAACGAATGCATCTTGCCCAGAAGATGTTACTGCACCAGATGGTCGGTCAATTACATCTACATGTAATCTCATCCAAGACTAACTTCATCTAGGCACCAGTTGTGGTAATTCTTTATCTTGTGCCTCGGGGCAGTGTACCTCGCGTGATCTGCAATGCAAAACTTTGATGGGTGTATTTACTCAGGGAAACGATACTTTTGCATGTTCATCCAGCGGTTGTCAAATATCTTGTGCTTCCCCAGAGTTCGGATCTAATGTTTGCTACTCAATGCAGCAAAATTTTTTGGACGGGACCTCTTGTCAAGGTGGCGGGAAATGTCTAAATGGACAATGCAGCGGTTCAAGCGTTGCAAAAGAGTTTACGAGCTGGATTCAAAAAAATGGCCGCCTTGTTATAATATTAGCCTCTGTGATTGGTGGATTTTTAATATTCACTCTTATCTCGTGTTGCGTAAGCGGCATCAAGAAGGGTAAACGACATAGGTCAGAAGCTGCTCTCAGAGCCAACAGGCCCAAAATTTCGAACATCGGCTTTCAAAATTATAATTTTCCAAATCAAGGATGGAGTAATTCGAATAATCATCCGTCTAGGCAATTGATGGAACGAACTCCAAATCCTCAGACGAACGGTTGGTGGGATAACCAAGGAAACTGGGTACAGCAACCACTGCCAGCTTGGCAGAGCGGCGCTGTCTACAGGTGATGCGCTGTCGGTATGTTGTATTGGAGTGACTACAAGGCGTTTTGGCGACATAATTATGTGTTAGCGTCGATGCAGAACATGTACATATTGTACGCTTCTAAATGACGGTAATATACCGCAGGTGAATGTAGCTGGAACCTCATCTCCTAAATTAATTGGGATTGTTCTTTGGAATTCAGTAGAGAAAGTTGGCCAACCTCTATCTCAAAAAAAGAAGGTTACGGTAAGTCTCTAGAGACTTTAGTGGTCTTACATTGTATTTGACTCATCAGAGCCATTAAAGAATTAGATTAATTACTAGGACTAGCTCCTCTATGTGCCAAATTAGCGTTAAATCTGTAATATGTATTCTACAGAGTAGACTACATGTAAACGAGTGCATGTATTTCATATTAAATTCTCTGTGCTCAATATAATATTCTCCATAGAATTTGAACGGTTTCTGTCAGGTTTAAGAGATTTTTGATCATAAAATCTGCTCTCAGCTGTTCAGCCACATAAACGATCCGCATTTTTTGCGCCTTGTAAATATTTATTTTGAATTGAGGCACTTTAATCCTAAATTTCACTTGAAAATGTTATTAATTTGTAATTAATGTTACGAAACATTTGAACTGGTGATATGATTTGAATTTGAATTTGAAAATTTTTATGTGACGGGAAGGACCCGACATCTATTTTGATGTGACACGGGTAGACGGGCTCTAAGAGCTCGTTGCCAACTACATGACCGGCAATGAATCCAGAAGCGACAAAAAAAAAGGGTGCAGTAAATATCTAAGTTACGGTGCTCTACGCCGCATCCATTTCTTCCAATCCCTTCTCCTCTCGAGTAAGAAGCAATTTCAGCATGGCCACCTCCCACCCTGTTCATTCTTCAGCAGACTGTGACATCTACTTGTAGTTAAGAATTGGATAAATTTCTGCCATCCATTATCCCCAATCATTTCCTTGGCCCAAGGTGAGGCCATTTTCTCAAAGCTTCTCCAGCGTTGCAAAACAGGTCGGCACTCTGAAATATGCCAGGGCCTTTTCTCTCGGCCGCAAACGCATTTCAGATCTTCATGCTCGTGGTTGAAACGTCGATGGTAGTTGGCGTAGTCCCCGTGGCCCGTTCTTGCCGCAATCAGACGATGGTACGCCCATCTCTGTAGTGCCAGTTCCGGTGGTCTTCTGCAACGCATGAATAGGTCCAGATCTTTATATCGCTTCGGTCGATACTTCTGCCACCACTCTTCCACGAGCTCTTGGCTGCGCTGTTTAACCCACCTCCCTAATGCCGCAAAGGTTAGATCTTGATCTTCTCCAATCGGCACAGCTGAGGTTATTGACGGGTTATTGGGAGCTCCCAAGGCTGATTTGGCCAGCTTATCGGCCTCTTCATTGCCTTGAATCCCCACATGACCGGGTATCCAGCGTATTTCCACACGCTTGTTTTGTCTCAGCAGTGAAAACTTGTTCACCACTCTCTGCGAGGAAATAGATCTTCCTCGGTAGAGCGCCCGAGCAGCCGCTTGATTGTCCAGAAGAATGCGAATCGATAGGTCTTCTCCAACTGTTTGTGCAGTCTCCAAAGCTTTCGTGGCGCCCACAACTTCCGCGTAGAATACCTCTGCTCCGGAAAGTGGACTGGAACCACTCCCAACTACCTTGCCCCCTTAGTATACTATATAACCCCAAGCTGATTGTCCGGGACCCGATGACGATTCATCAGAGAAAGCACAGACTGTATTAGCCGAAATAGAAGCTAACCATAACTTTATACTTCCAGACCTAGTTTGTTTTTGTCGACTACACGGAGTCGATGCTAGAGTGCCACGTGGGAAGTGTAGCTTTCCAGGGCCTTTGGCCGTCGGGACTTGACGCACACTCATTTGCAGGCATGTCATGTACCGTTCTGGTTGTCTGTACAAGCGATTTCTTTATCCCGATTTAAGACCTAGGCGTCTTATTGTCTCTTACAGGTCCTCAGCCGCCCTAAGGGCTAAAGGGTGCCAGACATTCATTCTTCGCATACGAGCTGCAGACCGCAGCATCTTTTGCTGGAAAATTATCGAATCCGGGGGTATTCCCGCCTCACAATGAAGAGCGCTATTGGGAGTGGTACGCCACGCTGGGAGTGCTACTCGAGTAACTTTCATTATCGTTTTTTCCAGTAGAGATATATGCCAGCCTACTCCAGTGCTGACTTCTTTATCTCGCAGTGTGTTTATTCGAGTGAGACCTGGCCACCACGCTTCTACCCCGTATGGAGCTGTGCTCAGAACACATGCATGTACCGCACGAATCAAAGGTCCGGGTGCTGCACCACGTTGAACTCTGTTTATATGTCGTCAGAAATGGACTAGACGATTAGCTTTTCCAGTCCATTCCTGTACATGTTGCTTGAAGTTTAGCTGGGTATCATGCCAGACTCCTAGCTACCGGATATGAGGTGACAGTTCGATCCGGCGATCTTTCACCAAGATGGAAAGATCAGCCGTGTTGGTTTTGTTTCTAGGCCCTCTTCCGTTCACTAGAAGTTCTGACTTTGCTGGGTCAAAATCGATCCTGTGTTCTCTTGCGAGAAGGATAAGGCTGTCGAGGTCGTCTTGAGCTCCGGAGATAGCATCCGCCGCGGTGTTTCCAATTCTGACAATAGCTACATCGTCAGCATAACCAAACCTGCTCGTTAGACCATGATCCTCAAAAAGCGCAGCGATGTAAAGCATAAAAAGAAGTGGCGAAAGTGGCGAGCCCTGAGGTACTCCACATTCCAGTATCTTCTCTTCTGTGATTCCTCCATGGTATTTCGCCTAGACTTTTCTTTGACGAAGAAAAGTATGAATATACTGGCAAAGTGATTGTGGCCAGCCTTGTTCTCGAAGCGTTTGAGCAGTGGGTTGTGAAGTGTCTAAACATATAATTCATAATGTTAAGGGTAACATGGTGGGGCTGCCTAATCGGGTATGGCATAACGGAAAATAATCAATGAATATGTACAAAGTCTCTTGGTATAAAAAGAAGAGGGTGATCTAAGAACCACCCATATTGTTGCAACAAGCTTGTGATTAAATTACTCTATAGGAGTATTCCGACATAGACACTAAGTCCACATGAAGTGCGCATATTCTTCTGTATCTCCCTTCTTTGTAATATTAGAGGCCAACTTGATCCAATCCACCATCTCCATATCGGGTGCTGGGTACGCTCCGGAAACTCATCGGATGGCTTCTTCTCCGTTATCAAGGGTCTGTGATGAGAAAGGCTTCGACCCTACCGTCTAATCTGATTGTGGCTAGCCTCATGATTATGATTGCGCAACTGAGGTTAACTGGCGTTACCGTGTAGAGACTCACTTATCTGTTACGTAATCCCAAACTGTAAATATTCTGCTTGTTTGTTAGAGCTTGGGGGGGGAGGGGGGTACACAGGGAAATCGACTCAAGAAGATTACTGTTGCCAATACAATTATTGTGTGACAGTACGAGCCCAGATGTGCATTACTAGATAGTCGAAGATACATATGGTGATAGGGAATGTGTTGGAAGATGAAGACAATACAGAGGGCGAAAGCGATTTGGAATCCTCATGGAAGTGAGAACTTTGTTACTCAATCTCAGCTCTGCAGACTCTATAGTGAGAGCTAGAGGTTTGTAGTGGACACCACTGAAGGTGTTGAGAATAGTCCCTCTTGCCCGAGTGGTAACCACAGATAGTCAGGTAAATATGTGATCCATACCTTATTTTCATCTTAGTAATATTGTATTTTCTAGGTCTCAACACCAATAATGGCCAATTATGACCTCTTCCCTCTTTCTTTCCACGTCCCAACTACCTGTACTTGTTATGTGATTAATCCCTTAGGTTTGAGCTGTCTGCCGCAATACGCCAGGGATAGATTATGGGTTCTTGGTAGCTACAAGGGCTACCAACGCTGCGGTCTATATGCGTGTCAGATTGGAGCGTAGGGGTTTGAGCTGAAGCGGAATTGGAGTACTAGAAGAGGCTGTATGGACTGCAAGATGACTGATAGTCTCCTGGATATAACTTGGAGGAACTTAAGGTCTGAGAGATGGGTAATATATATCTAAAGAGTCTAAAGGTTCGAGAGAAAACTATTGGTAACTGCAGGTACTAGAGGTGACCAGAGATGATCCTAAGGCGGTGGTCGTGACAGAAAACTAAACGTGAAGAACTCCGTATTTATAGATCAAGCCATCATACATATACTTGCTTTCTTTCCACTAGCACATCATAAAATAGGCCCTAAACTAGTACCAACATAATAACAAGTGCCAAACACCTGAGCAGGGCCTAGAGCAGCATAGCCATGCAGATAAGAAGCGAACACATTGGCTTCAATTCCTATCTGCACAAAAGAAAAGCTCCAGGAGTAGATAATCCACGATGCCAATGTGGATATCCATCCCAGAATGTGAAGCATATGATCATGGCCTGCACCAGCTGGGCCAAAGGTAGAGGAGAAATACTGAGAAAGGCAGAGAACCGGTCATTTGAGGCCATGATGAATAACCCTAAACATAATGCAAGGATAACTTGATGGGTCCAGCAGTGAGCAAGGCTAGAGCAGTTTCGACTGACGCTTGAAGTCGAGGCCACGATGAGGGAGAGAGGAGAGTAGGGGGTAGATGACCTCCAGCCGGTAGCAATGAAGTGGACAGTATCCGCACTAGACATAACAGTATTAGTGCACTTCGTGAAGGTATTACAACATTAAAGTGCATGTAAATTGAAAAAATCAGGAAGTTTAAACCAAAAAGGTTTCCTCCTATTTAAATAATAGAGTTCGTAGTCACATGCATGCGCCCTAAGTCTCATCAAGCCTGCAAGTACGACCAAGTACATCCTCATTCCAATGATTACACCTCTCGTCGACCTTCTCTGGCCTAAGTTGACCACAAAGTACACGCTCACGCCGATATTTACACCCGACGAAGGGAGCAAAGCGTGGCGCACACATCTGGGAGACAGTTCTTTGGGATGGACGTGGGAGGGAT